CATTTGGGAGGCAATCTTATGCTTTGCTTCGGAATTACTGAGTTCGAGGTATCAACGTGCTGAACGGGGTATGCTGGAGGGGGGGGGGATATCCAGGAGGCAGTTAGAAGGGATTGAGGCACTGGGATGTGGATGGATGAGGAAGTTTATCTAGGGAGAGTAGGCAGGTCTGAGAAATGAATGGCCTCCACGGTCAGGTCTAACAGGTAGAGTGACTTTCCACTGCCAGAGTATTCTGGGATGCCCTGAAGGTATCCACGGCAACAGAGGAGAGCTTTGCTCTGTTCTCTTTCCCCCACTGAGTCCTGGCCCAATCTTTGCCTGGAGGCAAAGTCCTCTGTTTGCCACTACAGTGTGGTACCCCCACCCCACCCCCCACAATACCTCACTTGTGGGAACTTACAAGAAACTGACCTTGGTCAAATAACACAGATGAGAAGGTTCAGCTGTGTGCAGCTTTACAGACTAGCTCCTGTGGGTTTCCCAAATGGATGATACCTAAGGGGTTCTCAAGGAAAGGATAAGCGAAGCCCCCCTGGGTCCAAGAACAAGGATCCTGGCCTGGGTTGTAGGCCACGGAACCCCTATTCACCGTGTCACATTGTTGGTCTCTCTTCCCCAATGAGGGCTGTGGGACTCTGAAGAGCTGTGACGGGAACCACCCTCCATACCCTTCCTCAGACTCCAGCAGGCCACAGGTTGGTACCTGATACCACATACCCTCTCATCCTCTCCCCACCTCTGGAATATGTGTGGAGACGGGTAAGAGATGCAGGGGGCCATGAGCCTGATGAGGAGGGTTTCCAGAACTGAGTTGGGGGGGATGGGTACCTTGTTTTGGGGGTGGGGTGGGGACATGAGCTGTTAGCTGGCTCCAGAGCCAGGTTCCTCGTGACAAAAGTTACAGAGCACTGGCTGTGGAATCGTTAGTTGTCCCTGAGCTCTCAGGGCTGTGGTTTGAACAGGCCTGTCCCAGCACTGCTCTTCACGAACCTTGGGCTCCAATGCAGCCATGTTAGGAGGTGGGACCAGTGGGAGGCGTTGGGTCATGGAGACAAAGCCCACGGGAGACTAAGTAGAATGTTCTCACCAGTTCGCCCTGGCAGTGTAACGGAACAGATGAGAGTAAGAACTGTTTGAGGGAGGGCTTCGCAATGTAGCCCCAGCTAGCTTGAAACTTACTATGTAGCCCAGGCTGGCCTCAGACTTGAGATCCTACTTCTGCCTGCGGAGCACTGGAAATATAGGCCTTAAGTAACCACACCTGCATGAAAACTATGAACGATGATGTTTACCTAGTGATTAGAGGAAATGAAAATAAGATTATCTGAACAGGACTCTGCCAGGAAAAATGGCCTTGCTTCCTTTTTGACTGGCTTTGAAGGCAATGTCAACAGAATGGGAAAGAAAAGGCCTGCTCCATCTGCCTTCCTTCTTTCTCCTAATCTCTCCCCCAGTAGTAAGGATTGAACATAAGGCACTGGGATGGAGAAAAAAAATCAAAGAGGAAGGATACGACTGCTCCTGGGTGAGGTGGAAGAGGAGGTTTATTGTAGATAAAAGGGAGAGCACAGGCAGAGGCAGGGACATCTGGGAGAGTCCAGAGTGGACGTGTCCCTGAGCCGTGTGTGTGTGTGTGTGTGTGTGTGTGTGTGTGTGTGTGTGTGTGTGTCGGGGGGGGGGGGCGGGGGGAGCAGCTGCTGACCAACAGGAGCAGCCTGGGCCCCAAGAGACAGGCTAAGAGAGTAGATGGGGGATGGGGAGGAGACCAGGTACCCAAACAGCTGGATTATATAAGGGAGGGCAGCCCAGTCCCCTGGGCTGGAGAAGTTTAGGGCAGGGAGCAGGTGTGTCAGCCATATCCTGCAGTAGCAGGAAGGGGCTAAGAGATGCAGGGAGAACCTGGAAGCCATGCCCACTTTGACGAACCTGGAAGCCATGCCCACTTTGACATGTTAAACAGGCTTCTTCTCGGTTAACCTCCAGAGTTGGAGACCTAACAGCCTCTTCCACTACTAATGTGTATCCTCATCCCTGCCAGAGTCTCATGGCTTTGCACTCACTATGCAGCCAAGGATGACCTTGAATTTCCTTTTTTAAAAGATTTATTCGCTTGGGGCTGGAGAGATGGCCCAGACCTTAAGAGCTCTTGTAGAGGACCATGGTTGGTTCCCCGCTCCCAAGCCTGATTAAGCTCTGGATTCTGTAAGTGTCCTGAAGTACTTTATTCAACTTTCGCCTGGCAGGGTTGCCTGTGCTTGTACTTCCAGTGCTCTCGGGAGCCCCAGGGAAGGCCATTCTGGGCTAGCCTGAGTGAGCCTTTGTCTCAAAAAAACAAATAAAGAGCCAGGCATGGTGGTCCGTGCCTTTAGGACCAGCACTGGGGAGGCAGAGGCAGGTGGATCTCTGAGAGTTTGATGCCAGCCTGGTCTACAGAGTGAGTTCCAGGACAGCTGGGGCTACACAGAGAAACCCTGTCTCAAAACACCAAAACAAAACAAAAACAAGCAAACAAACAAAAACTAATAAGTAAATGAATAATACATAATATACTTTGGCAGGGAGAATGGCTCAGCGTTTAAGAGCACTGGTGGTATATATATATGGCTCAGCAGTTGTTGCTTTTACAGAGGACCCAGGCTTGGTTCCCAGAACCCACATGGTGGCTCACAACCAAACCAAACTCCAGTTCCAAACTCAATACCATCTTCTGAACTCCACAATCACAATCACAATCACACACACACACACACACACACACACACACACACACACACACAATGCATATACATTCAAGGGTAGAGAGATCTCTGTTTAGAGCCAGCCTGGTCTACACAACAAATTCCAGTTCAGCCAAGACTACATAATGAAAAACAAAACAAACTGGTTTCTCTTGTGTTCTTACACATTTTATTTTATAATTTTCACACGTTTGTCTGAGTATTCATGAGTCTGAAAAAAATTTCAAAGACCGAAGGCTTAAAATTCCTGCACACAAAAAATATGTTGCCTTAACTCTTCCATAAAGGGATATTTGGCACTGGGTGCTGTCGCACTGGGGGGCAAAGTCTTTTTCTCTTTTTTAAGATTTATTTTATTTTATGAGCCTGCACACATGGGCACCACATGTGTATCCGGTGCCCGTGGAGGTCAGAAGAGGGCACAGGTTCCCCTGGAACTGGAGTTGCAGATGGTTGTGAGCCACTGTTTGGGCACTGGGAACTTGTTGCCCTCTACAAGGGCAACAAGTGCTCTTAACTTCGGAGCCATCTCTCCAGCCCCCTCAAAGCCTGTCCTTTGGTTCCTTCAAAGGACAAGGACCATTCTGCAGCACAGGACCACCCGACCCACTTGTAGGTTCGCTGCCACCACAGGCTGGGGACGCTCACACCATGAGAAGGGCAGCTGTGTGCCATCGCAGATTAGTCCTAGGACACCCCTCCTCCCAGCTGCAGCTGGGCCAAGGGTCCCACTGGGCTCAGTTACTTCTCAGACCGAATGGCAATGAACTTACCCAGGTGGAGTTTGAACACACTGAGGTGTCAGCATTGAGGAGACTAGAAGAGGTGGCAGATACCAAGAGAAAGATGGCAAGCCAACAGCAGAGATCTAGAGGTCTGCCGAGACAAGGGGCCTTCCACCACAGAGATCTGCCCCTGAGCCTTGGGACGTCTCTGCTCCCTGCTATCCCGTCATTGAGCTCAGAGACTGGGGAAGGGCAGGGGTCTCCTGCTACCTGTAGCCCACAGCTGAACATGAAGCGTGCCAGGAAGTACACTGGGGAAAGCCGAATCAGCTTTCTCCTTCCTCTGGTTTGTGAATAGGTCTCCGTCCCCAGTACACAGCGCTATGATCTTGTTATTAACATCTATGTCCGTGCAGGTCTCTACCCAAGGACTTTCGATCTGCTTGACTGTGTACAAAGCAGTTAGAGCTGTTGTTGCTCCTGGTGGGGAGGAGGGACAGAAAGGTCTGCAGAGAGACCTCTACGGCCAGGCTCCTTCTATCCCAGGGGGGCCTGCAGCACCCCTTCTCTTATGGAGTAAACCTAGTCACAGTATCCACCCAGAAACAGATTGACCAACTACATCCACATCTCAATTCTATTTATTTATTTATTTGTTTATTTATTGGGGAAAGGTCTCCCTACATAACCCTGGCTGGCTGGAACTCACTATGTTGAACAGGCTGGTCTTGCACTATAGAGATCTGATTGCTTTGGCCTCCCCAGCGCTGGGATTTAAAGGCATGTGCCACCATACCTGGACACATTTCCATACTATCAGTGCTTTAGAGACAAGGAAAAGCTTGGAGAAAAGCCAGATGCCTACAGTAAGAAATAAAGAGTCCAAGCCGGGCGGTGGTGGCGCACGCCTTTAATCCCAGCACTCGGGAGGCAGAGCCAGGCGGATCTCTGTGAGTTCGAGGCCAGCCTGGGCTACCAAGTGAGTTCCAGGAAAAGGCGCAAAGCTGCACAGAGAAACCCTGTCTCGAAAAAACCAAAAAAAAAAAAAAAAAAAAAAAAAAAAAAAAAGAAATAAAGAGTCCAAACTGGGTGTGGTGGGACATACCTGTGGTAGCACATACTCAGTGCACTAAGGAGGTTACGGTGGGATGATTACAGTTACAGGGAGGGTGTAGGGAGGGAGAGAAGGAAGGCGAGAGAGGAAATTCAATGGCAGAGGACCCCCATCTACTTGCCGCACCCCTGCAATATATTTGCATTTCCTAGAGTACACACTCTCACCTCCAAGCTTCTACACCTAGGTCCTGGCTGGAATACCTCTAAGAGGCTCTCAGGAGCTCTGTAACTCAAACTTTAAGACTCCACTGTTGCCGGGCGGTGGTGGCGCACGCCTTTAATCCCAGCACTCGGGAGGCAGAGGCAGGCGGATCTCTGTGAGTTCGAGGCCAGCCTGGTCTACTGAGTGAGTTCCAGGAAAGGTGCAAAGCTACACAGAGAAACCCTGTCTCGAGAAACCAAAAAAAAGAGTCCACTGTTACTTTTACACTTTGGTAAGGTGTACCTTTACATTGCCAGGCCCACCAAGGAAATGATTGCAATGTAAGACATCCATAGACATGTAACCCTCGGCTCCGTTTCACTAAATTATGAGGGTTCATGTGGCCAGGATGAGAATATCCAGTTCTCAGCTGGGAAATAGATACTACGGAGAATCCACTAGGGCATGGGTGGCCTCCTGGCTCCCAGGCATTGGCACTAGTAAGTAGATTTATTCAGTTGTGCAACACTATACCAGCAGGCCTATTATGGTCTAAACATTACGCCAGGTGCTAGGGATCAAGGAAGAATGGAGAAATTAACTGGAAGGATAAAGTTGAACAAATACTTAAAAGAACACTCTAAAAATCTGTAAAGGAAATACAACAGTTTAATCCGTGCTTTGGTCCAGGTATACTGGGAGAGAGTTTCCCCTCACCCTCCCAAGGGGATGATTTGAGGGGATTAGAACAGTAATCCTCAGGTTAGGTGTCAAGGCTTGAGGTCCGAATCCCAACCCAGACCCACACCTGGACCTGTTGTTTCCCTTAATTCCCAGTATGAGATCCGGGAATTAGTGGTCTGGTTGTCAGTCCACTCGGGGTCAAGTACCCCTAGAACACCCCCAAACGATTCTCCCCTTACTCAGGAGACCCCCACCTACATAGGCCCTTTAATTGTTCTTAGCTTTTTTTTTTTCCCCTTTTGTTAGACAGGGTTTCTGTGTGTAGCCCTGGCTATCCCTGGAACTCTCTTTGTAGAACAGGCTGGACTCGAACTCACAGAGATCCGCCTGCCTCTGCCTCCTTAGTGCTGGGATTAAAGGTGTGTGCCAACACCGCTCAGTGAACAACTGTTCTTAAGGACGGTGTCAAGTGACCTTCATAGAAGGTGCGACTCCTTTAAAATGAAAGAGCAAACACGCACGGGCGTCACAAACCCTAAACCCAAACCAGAGTGCCAACCAGAAGGCCTGGCTCCTTCCAAAGCGCGGAGCTTTAGAGAAGCCCCGAGAATCGCCCCGCCCCCGAAGCGCGAGCGCCGATTGGTCAGCGTGATCGCAGGGCGTGGCCAGATCTTAAAGGTCCAAGAGCTTAGTAGGCCGGGAGGAGGCGGTGGCTGCTCCGGGAACCCCAGAGGAAGTGATGCCTCAAAGGCCCATGTAGGTGTCTTTAAAACCTCGCTAATGTCCAGACTCAAGTTCCAGATCTATGGAGCCCACCAGAAACTGTCCACTCTTCGGAGGCGCCTTCTCCGCCATCCTCCCCCCTGGGGCCATTGATGTGAGGTGAGAAAGCCCAGGCGTCCCGGAGGCCGGTCGGGTGGGTTGCGGGAAGAAGCCAGAGACATCGAGAGTGTCCCTGCCCCTCTTCCAGCGACCTCCGACCGGTCCCGGACAACCAAGAAGTTTTCTGCCATCCCGTGACCGACCAGAGTCTGATCGTGGAACTTCTGGAGCTGCAGGCCCACGTGCGGGGCGAAGCGGCTGCGCGGTGAGAAAGTTAGCCAATGGGAGGCCAGGAGCCGAGGAAGTGGGCGGGGCCCGGGGCTGGACGGTTATTCAGGGCAAAAACCCCAAGGGCGATCGCGGACTGGCCAGAAGGGAGTGAGAGGCTTGAGGGTGGGTATGGGTTATTCAGAGATGCCCCTTCCTACCCCTGTCCCCCCCCCACTCCAGGTACCATTTTGAGGACGTTGGCGGGGTGCAGGGGGCTAGGGCTGTGCACGTGTTATCTGTGAAGCCTCTCTGTTTGGAGAACTTATCCCTGAGGGGCTGTTGTCAAGATGCCTGGTTCCTTTCTGGCAAGCAGCAGGTAGCTAAAGAAAACCAGCAGGTGAGGGCCACGGCGAATGGGATGTCCTGAAGCGGGGGAGGGGTAGCTCCAGTTACCATCCCGGTAAGCATCCTGATTCTGATCCCTTTAGGTAGCAAAGGATGTCACACTATATCAGGCCTTGCTTCGGCTGCCCCAGTACCAGACTGATCTGTTGCTCACCTTCAATCAGCCCCCGTAAGGACAAAGGAAAGGGTGGGAAGTTCGCAACTGGATCTCCCCCCCCCCCCCCCTGACAATCAGGCTGGGTGGGTCAAACAGGAAGATTGGCTGGTAGACTCCTTCAAGGAAGCAGAAATGGGCTTGAGGGTCAGGGATTCCTGGTCTTCTGGGGAATAGGAAGTGTAATCTTGTAAACCTCAAGTTGGACCATTTTCTTTCTCCCTCTGTTGCCTCCCGCTAAGCTCTAACAGCAGGTCTCTTGGCCCTGAAAATCTGTCATGTCCACCCTGGAGCCTGGGTAACTTTGAACAACTGGTGACTAGTTTGACTCTTCATGATCCCAACATCTTTGGTCCCCAGTGAAGATGATGGCACATAACATACTGCTGCTGAGGACTCAGGGATCTGGTTCTGAGAGGGGGAGTTCCTTTCTACTTGTCCCTGGACACAAACATGAGACACCTCCTCTGCAGAAATAAACTTGCTTTATAAACAACACAGTTTCTGTGGCTTTGAATTTAAGAGGACACCTGGGTCTCCCCCTGGTCTTGGAAGGGGGACTTTAAAGCTGTGCACAGGAGCAGGAGGGACCCAAGAATGGCAGTAGAAATATACTTTGGGGTATCTGATTCAACCCTGAGATGGGTGTGAAGTATACAGGGGGACTTGGGAAATTTAAAGCAATATCCAAGGGAAGGACATAAATTACTGCTCAGAATCAGATTAGTGATTCAACCCTAAGAGAAGAGAGGAGTGGTCATGGCTGTCCCCCTGAGGTGGATGAGAAGTCAATGGGTCAGTAAATCATCACTGAGATAGTAAGTAGTGGAGTGTTGATTTGGAGTACAGGAGAGTGACTCATTTAGTGTATGTGTTGTAGAAGACGCGCAGCTGATCCCAGAAGAAGAGAGAGAGGATAGTGTGGGGGCCAAGGCGAAAGTAGGAGGCACCTATACCCTTGTACATGCCAAAAACGCCCTCTTTCCGAGCTGTCTGCAGCAGAGCGTCGAAGATCCCCCGGTACATGAGGCCCTGGAGCATGACAGGGAGGGAGAGCACAGGAGGAGCACGTCAGAGCCCACCAGGATCAGACACCTTTGCAGGCAGTGTTCGAGGCTCTGCCTCTCCACCCCCAGTTTTCCTTGGCAGCCTGAACCGTACAGTGCTCCTTACCTTGCCATGAGTATCGGTGGGTTGGTTATAGAGCCTTGTGCTGGCCACATCAAAGGGTGTCATGGCCGTGACTACTGCGATGCCACTCACCATGGCAGCCGCCAGAGCCACCTTCCAGCTCTGGGGAGGAAAGATCTATAAGAAAGAGAAAGAATTTTATCAACCACACAGTCTTTCAACCTTAGGGTAGGACAGGCCCTGCCCTGGAAACACAATTTCTAGGAGCTTCCATACCACCCGAGATAACACAGTGTGATAACTCTGAAGGAGGAGTGTCCAGAGGGCTTAAGTATCCCTTCTGGTAGGAGATGATGACAGAATCCTATCTGAGGGGCCAGTGACCCCAAGCCTCCTGCTGCTCCCTCACTTTTGAACCTTGGCCCCAGCCCATCCAGGGCCCACCTCCCTTCTTCCACCCTTGTTCCCCAGTCCAGGGATGGTCCCACCCCTTCCCTGGCAGTACCTCCCACTGAATCAAGAGGTCCTTGGTGGATGAGAAGGTGCACAGCTGGGTAGAAGAGCCGATGACAACTCTGGGCAGGCCTCCCACGGCCCCTCGCCACAACCCCACTAGACCATGTTTCTGGCCAATCTTGGTTAGTGCATGAAACATGCCCTGGTGGGGGCAGGAAAGACCATGGGGTTGGCGTTCAGTCACCCCACCATCAGGGACTGCCTCCTAATAACACTTTCAAGGATCATGTACCCATTGCCCAGACAACCAGTTCAGTGTAGGCTTAAGAGCCAGAACAGGGGCCCTCAGGTGTCTACTGACATTTGCCAACTCAAGAGTTCAGGCTGGAGGTACGGAAGTGAGGACATTAGCGGGTCAAGAGACTGGGGCAGGAGAAACAGGTGTGGGAGATTTGAGGAACGAGGGCACGTGAGGGTCAGGATGGGCTTCAGGGGCTGACGCGTGGGACCTGATGGGATTGGGCAGAGCAGTGACTAAAGGTGAAGCAGAAAGCTGGGAGAAAATGGGGAAGAGGGCTGGGTACTCCAGGGGCTTCAGGAACCCTCACCTCATGCTTATACTGGTGCCCTACAGCGATTTCAGAGGCTGCCTGTGCCTGGAGGTGTGTCTTCACCTGAGGACAAGAGAGTATCACAGCCTGTGCCCCAGTGGTCATCTTCCCACCATGGAGAGCAAAACACCCAAACCCCTCACACCTCCTCCTCTAGGGTATTAAGCAACGAATATATTCTTTTTAATCTGATAATTACTGTTGTTCCCACTTAACAAATTGGTCACGAGAGTCTGTGTCCCTTGGCTGCAGTCCCAGAGGACAGACCTCCTAGCACTACAAGATACCCCGCCCCCTCCACATCCTACTTCCCTTGGGGCTGGGGGTGGGGCGTGGAGGTTGGAGAATGGCAATATTTCTTAAGATTTCATATTAGGCAAGATCTGGGTGTCTAGCCTCTTGTGCCAGCTCCCACTCCAGACCAGGTCTCCAACTGCCAACTCCACCAGTCTCCCTTGTCAGAGTACCCAAAATATGTTCTTTGGCTCCCAGGACCCAAAGGGGTGTGAATTCAGTTGACTTTGAAGATGCCTTTGTCTTCAAATCTCATCCATTACGAGTGAGACCAAGCTGGCTCTCCTAGAGATCATCTTCTTCTCTTAGCTGCACTAAGCCTGGCCTATCCCCAACAATAAACAGCTGTGAGACCTTGAGCTGTGTGACATCTCTGGGTCTCAGGCTCCCAACCCTTCACCTATATTTGATAACTCAAAGGAGTAAACTGTGAGATTGCAATTCTGTGATGCCCAGGATCCTCTTGATCCTACCCTCATTAATCCATATCACTCAGATTCCTCATCCTGCCTACACAAAGTCAACCAATAATAAGACAATAAAAGCTACAGCATCACTGGACATGGTGGCACATTTGTATTCAAAGCACTTCGGTGGCAGAGGCAAGGAGGATGAAGAGGCCAGCTTGGGTTCATAGTGAGTTTCAGACCAGCCTAGACCATGTAGCCAGACCCTGTATCCAAAAATAAATAAGAAAGAAAGAAAGAAAGATTGTCAAATGCTTCACATGTCCATCTCACTTGTCTCCTTTAATCCTTCTGACAACCACACAAAAGTCTATAATTATCCCTGTGTTATAGATGTGGTAACAATGAATAATTTTCAAAGCCAGGATCTGAGTTCCAGAAAGTCTGATTCCAAAGCTCAGCTGTAGGCAGATGGGATGCACACCTGTTAACTGGAGCACTGAAACCTAGGTTGGACCTTGGCTTTGAAGCCAGGCTGTGCTACAGAAGAAATTTGACACTACTATAGAGGAAGACCCTGCCTCAACAAACAAACAACACCCCTACCCCCTCACTCCTCCACCCCGTTCAAAGAAGTCTCTAGAAGCAAAATCTGTAATCTTCATGCGCACACTGCAGTCAGTTGGGTGGGTGTGTACAAGGCAGATACAAGGCCTTGAAGCTTTCCACCACTTTCCTTTAGCTTTTCCTGCTTACACGTAGACAGCACCCTGTCACCAATGCCCTTATGAAGGGCAGGCTCCCACCCTACACCAAGGGTCTTTCTTGAAGGACCCAGACAAGACCCCCTTCTTACCATGTAGATTGGGCTTCCCAGATAGGCTCCTATGACCCCAGCTAGGGCCCCAGCTGCAGCGCTTCGGACAGGACTGAGGACACCTTCATTAGTGTGCAGGTATCCCCTAGCCTCCGCCAGCCCGTAGGTGCCCAGTCGGATGCCATTCATCAGGAACTGGTACAATAGCGCAGGGGCCAGGCCCTTCTGCAAGGCAGCCAGGCCATCCACCTTGCCAATGGTGAAGAAGGCATGGAAGACGTTTCGGTAGTGGCGCTGGTAGGTTCCTGGGGCCTTCAGTTCTCCTTGCAATTGCATTCTGGTCTTTACAACCTCCAGGGGATTGGTGAACACACAGGCCCCGCAGGCTGCCAGACCACTCAACAAGAAGTCCATGGTAGGGGTAGCAAATGGCCTTGGAAAGCAGGGATGGATATCAGGGCGACACCTGGCTCTTTGCAGTCCAGGCTGCAACAGGTAGAAATTTAGAGAGCTGAAGTGTCAGGGAAACGTCAAGAAGTAAATTAAGGTTAGAGGGAATTTGGGGGTCAGAAGGTGGCAAAGAGGAGTGTAGGAGAGTCTGGCGAGAAGGCCCTGTTGACCAAGGGATCTGAGGTCAAGGAGGAGGAGAAGTTAGAAGGTGGCAGATGCCCGGGATGACAGGCTAGGGGGACCAGGGAGTATTTTAGGAAAACGCGGAGTTGGGGAATGGTAGCTGGAGAAGCAGGAAACAGAAAAGCAACAAGAAGAAAAGGATCAGAGGGAAGACCCGGAGGGGGCGTGGCGACAAGCAAGAGGAGGGTCGCCTAGGAAGTTCAGATTCTGGCTAAGCATGAGCGCGGCAAGGTAGCTACAGAGCTGGAGCACCTTTTACCCGGGGTAGCTTGCGGAGGCCGGGCCGCCTCGCTACAGTCCGTGGAACGCAGCGCCAATGGGGACTCTCCGAGAGCCGCAGCCGAGCGCCCCCGCCAATGAGCGCCGAGCCGGCTCGGCGGCCAATGGGAGGTGCTCGCAGCGGCCCGGCCCTCGGCCTCGGATGGAGCAGGTTGGGTTAACTCTCGTCGCCCCGGCTCCCAGGCCTGCTGCTGGTCTCCGCCGGGTGCCCGAGGCGCGGAGGTTTTATCACTGTCCGGGGGTTGGGGTGGGCCGTGGGTTCCCGAGCAGAGGCTGAGAGCAGAGGGTTGGGCAGCTCCTCCTGCGGATGGCCGGCTCCCTGCGGTCGTCCTCTAGCCCAGGTCATCTGGGTTTGGGGTTGCCTGACCGCAGCCACGCCCAGCGCTGTTCGGATGCCAGGACAGCCCGGAAACAGCGGTCCCGCCCTCCGGGGAGACGGGGCACACCTGCTGGACAGCACCCATCCCCTACGGCCGAATAAAATGTTTGTAGTGTCTAGTACTAGGGTGTGGCTAGCTGTGGGGGCCGAGGGAGAGAGACTTGAAGGCCAGCCAGGGAACGAAGCTTGATCTTATTAAGCTCTTGATCCTCACGGTGACCTAGGGGAAGCCGGGCAGGTCAAGACAAGGATTTCCATCCCGTCTCCAGCGAGGCTTAGATTACAAACTTGTCTCTTGTCCTTGCTTCATGCGTGTGGTTAATCATGAAAGAACCCGCGGGAAAGAAACTGGAAAAGAGCGGAGAGAGACGGCCTGGAGAAAGAAGGCAGGGGCTTAGGGATGCCATCTGGGTGGCGGGAAGAAGCAGAGGGCTCACCTGAGTAACACTCAGCTCCCCTGCTTACCTGAGTTCCGATTTGTGTCTTCCTTCCTACTATCTGATTGACGGTGGGCAAGTTACTTATCTTCTCAGAAACCCCTTGTAAAATGAGAGCGATATCTGTGGGACACACTCCAAAGGAAGTGTTGGGCTTGTGTTCAGTTAAATTTACTGGAAAGTCGGGAGTTGACAGAATTCTTCTCACTTCCTGGAGGTCCCTGCCCTCTCTTCCGTGGTGTCCGTGGTGTCCGAGTCAGGATGCCCTGGAGCATCTTCTGATGGCTTTTCCAAATTGTCCATGTTCAGCCTCACCCTGCTTTGTTCCTCAAACATACACGTATTGTTCTCAGCGGTTGTTAATTTCCCTGCTGCCCTAGTCTGGAAGTTCCTAGGAGCCCTGGGGGGCCAGATCTGAGTCATAATTTGTTGTTTGTGAGACAACCTTGCGGGGTGTGTAGCCTACAGGGGCCTCAAACTCAAAATCCTCTTGCCTCAGCCTGTGGAGTGCTGGAGATTTCAAGTCTGCTGCCATACTGAGTGACAGGGTGATGCCACACCTAGTTTCACATCCTGAGTTTGAAGCCTGTGGTTCTCAAAAGGATGGTCCTATAGCAGCAGCAGTACCTGGGAACTTAGAAATACATTTAGCCTTGCTGGAAATCCTCCGAAACAGAAGGTCTGCAGGTGGAACCCCAGCTGACTGTCTTTCATCAAGGCCCCTGGATGCTAAAGATTCAGAATCACTGACTTGTACTTCCTGTCTTTAAGACTGATGCCTTAGAGAGGGACATATTGTAAGGTGCTATATTCCCCCAGAGCTGAGGACCAAACTCAGGGCCTTGTGCTTGCTAGGCAAGTGCTCTGCCACTGAGCTAAATCCCCCAACCCCAAGGTGTTATTTTTTTAAGAGTAATCTTAACTTTTAGAAGTTTTCTGGACATTTTAATTTTTCTGAACACTGCACAACAATTGTGAAGATATTGAGTGTTCTCATGTACTCTGTATGCGGTTTTCCCTATTCTACTGACTTCCACCGTTATCATGTACTGCTATGATTAATGAAACAACACCAAAACATTGTTCTGAAGTCCAAACCTTAGTCAGGGTTCTTTTGTTTTTACTTTGACTCCTTTTCTGTTCAGGATCACATAAAGAAAACAGAATACTAAATTACATTTAATTGTCGTAGTCACTCCTTAATTATGGCAGTTTCTTAAACTTCCTTTGTTTTTCTTCAAAATGTTTGTTTGTTTGTTTGTTTATTAATAGATAAGGTTTCACTATGTAGCCCTGGCTGGCCTGAAACTAGACCAGAGTGGCCTCAAACTCACAGAGTTCTGGTTGTTTCTGCCTCCCGAGTACTAGGATTGGGTACTGACTGATCTTCCAGAGGACCCAGTTTGGTTTGGTTTGGGTTTTTGTTTGTTGTTTTTGTTTTTGGACACAGGGTTTCTCTGTGTAGCCCTGGCTGTCCTGGAACTGTAGACCAGGCTGGTCTCAAACTCAGAGATCTGCCTGCCTCTGCTCCCTGAATGCCTCTGCTCGCTTGAAGGGATCCAATTTTAATTTCCAGCACTCACATGGCAGCTCACCAGCCATCCATAACACCAATCCTAAAGGCATTTGATGCTCCCTTCTGGTGCTGGCACTGCATGTACATGTGGACATACATAGACATTAATAAATAATAAAATAAATCTTTTTTTGTTGTTGTTTTTGTTTTTTCAAGACAGGGTTTTTCTGTGTAGCCTTGGCTGTCCTGGATCTCACTCTGTAGACCAGGCTGGCCTCGGACTCACAGAGATCCACCTGCCTCTGCCTCCAAAGTGCTAGGATTAAAGGCGTGCACCACCACTGCCTGGCAATAAAATAAACATTTTTTAAAAATAGATAAATAAGCCAGGCAATGGTGGCACACGCCTTTAATCTCAGCATTCGGGAGGCAGAGCCAGGCAGATCTCTGTGAGTTTGAGGCCAGTCTGGTCTACAAAGTGAGTTCCAGGAAAGGCGCAAAGCTACACAGGGAGACCCTGTCTCGAAAAACCAAAAAAAAAAAAAAAAAAAAAAAAAAAAAAAAAAAAAGATAAATAGAATAAAATACAAATAAAACAAAAATGGGGAGAGTTATTTCTCCCCTCCATGAAAATAGAATACCTACATTGAATTCTTCTGTATGGGATATTTATCCAACTAATATATTTATTTACTTATTTATACATCAATTTATATTACTGATATCCCTATGGACTCATGGATATTTGTTTTATATTTTGAGTCAAAGTCCATGTTTTATTTTATTGCTCAATTTATTATGCCTTTGTCTTTTGGAGCTAGTGTGTGTGAATCTCTCATTTATTATTTATTATTTATTTATTATTTTTATTGTTTATTGCTTTGAGTCAGGGTCTCATGTAGCCCAGGCTGATCTGGAACTTGAAATTCTTCTGCCCTCTGGGTGCTGGGATTACAAGCATAGGCTACCATGCCTGGCCTAGATAGGCTTCTTTGATTTAGAAATGTGTGCTTAGCAAGGTGGTGGTGGCAGCGGCGGCGGCGGCGGCGGCGGCGGCGGCGGCGGCGGCGGCGGCGGCGGCGGCGGCGGCGGCGGCGCACGCCTTTAATCCCAGCACTCGGGAGGCAGAGCCAGGCGGATCTCTGTGAGTTCGAGACCAGCCTGGACTACCAAGTGAGTCCCAGGAAAGGCGCAAAGCTACACAGAGAAACCCTGTCTCGAAAAACCAAAAAAAAAAAAAAGAAAAAAAAAAAAAGAAATGTGTGCTTAATTTTCATTTATTATTAATATTGTTATTATCATTGTTATTATTGATAGAGTCTCTCCCTATAGCTCTGGCTGTCCTGGAACTCACTCTGTAGACCAGGCTGGCTTTGAACACAGAGATCCCCTTGCCTCTGCCTCCTGAGTGCTGGGATTAAAGATGCGTGCCTCCACCATTCAGCCTCATAATTTATTATCTATTCATATGTTGAAAGATATCTTGTTTGGTATGTTTTTGGTGCTGGGGTGAAACCTAGGGCCTCACACATGCTACCATCGAGGTACATCCCTAGCTCCCAGACAATTACTTTTCATATTGGTTGAATTGACTGGTCTGGCACTCACCATGTAGACCAGGCTGGATTCAAACTCATAGAGATCCACTTGAGTGCTAGATTGAAAGCCATGCTCCACACACCCAGCACGATGTGTGTGGGGCGGGGCGGGGGCGAGTACTTTTTGTCTTGTGTAAGTGCTGGAGATGGGCTTTAAGAACTAATCTACATTCTCAACCTGTAATTCTAGAATTTCTATTAAGGCAGCATAATCATCACAGATCGGCAGCCTAAATTTGTAGCCTTAGAAAGAATACAAATCCCTTAGGAAAGGGACTCTGTGATCAGCAAGGGACATCCCTGCTTCGTCCTTCTTCCTGGAAGATGAAGTAGAGAACCACAGGCAGTGGAAGGCATGGTCCCACTGTAAAAGCTCCAGGATGACAAAGTCCTTCCAGTCAAAGCAGAAGGGGGGCGGGGAGCAGCTGCCAGCATTACCACCACCAGTGGGGTAGGTAGACCAGCATGTCACACTGTGCTCCAGCACCAGTGGGGTAGGTAGACCAGCATGTCACACTGTGCTCCAGCACCGGTGGGGTAGGTAGACCGGCCATGTCACACTGTGCTCCAGCACCGGTGGGGTAGGTAGACCGGCCATGTCACACTGTGCTCCAGCACCGGTGGGGTAGGTAGACCGGCATGTCACACTGTGCTCCAGCACCGGTGGGGTAGGTAGACCGGCCATGTCACACTGTGCTCCAGCACCGGTGGGGTAGGTAGACCGGCCATGTCACACTGTGCTCCAGCACCGGTGGGGTAGATAGACCAGCATGTCACACTGTGCTCCAGCACCGGTGGGGTAGATAGACCAGCATGTCACACTGTGCTCCAGCACTGGTGGGGTAGGTAGACTGGCCATGTCACACTGTGCTCCAGCACCGGTGGGGTAGGTAGACCGGCCATGTCACACTGTGCTCCAGCACCGGTGGGGTAGGTAGACTGGCCATGTCACACAGTGCTTAGCTTTCTAAAAAGCTGCCAGCTGGCATGCTTGCAATCTCAACACTTAGGAAGCTGCGGCAGGAGAATCTGCAGTTTAAGGACAGCCAGAGCTACAGAATGAGATTCTGTCTTAGGAAAAGAAGAGCTGGTGTATAGCTCCATGGGAGAGCACCTGCCTGGAGTGTGCAGGCACTGGGTCCCTCCACTAGCACCACAGAAAATTAAAGGCTGTCCTCAGATGCAGGCTTCAAACCTTGGACCATGCACTGGTTACTTTTCAACAATAACAACAACAACAAAAGTTAAGGGAGGAAAGGTGCATTCAGGATCACGGCTCAAGAATGTTAGTGCTCAACTGGTTTTGGTTCATTTAAAAAATTCAATCCAGGAGCCGGGCGGTGGTGATGCACACCTTTAATCCCAGCACTTGGCAGGCAGGGGCAGGCGGATCTCTGTGAGTTCGAGGCCAGCCTGGGCTACAGAGCGAGATCCAGGAAAGGCGCAAAGCTACACAGAGAAACCCTGTCTCGAAAAACAAAACAAAACAAAACAAAAAAAAAAAAGAAAGAAAAATTCAATCCAGAATCCCAGCCCACAGGGCAATACCATCTACATTCAGAGTGGGTCTGTCCTCCAAAAACCTAACCTCTCACAGATACAACCGCAGGTATGTCCCGGCTGAGTTTAAATCTACACGAGTTGACAATGAAACAATGAAGATTAACCATCACAAACTCACCCTCTTCAACCTTTTTTTTTTTTTTTTGACTGGTTCTCTCTACACTACACAGCCCTGGATGCCGTGGAACTCACAATGTAAACCAGGCTGGCCTTAAGTTCACAGAGATCCTCCTGCCTCTGCCTCTTGAGTGCTGGGATTAAAGGCATGCACCACCATGCCTGGCCAAATACATCACTTTTACAGTGTAGCATTCCACTCCTGGTCCCTGAAGCCTCATGTTGATTTTTTTTTTTTTTTTTGGTTTTTCAAGACAGGGTTTCTCTGTGTAGCCCTGGCTGTCCTGGAACTCACTTTGTAGACCAGGCTGGCCTCGAACTCAGAGATCTGCTGCCTCTGCCTCCAAGTGCTGGGATTAAAGGCGTGACCCACTACTGCCCAGCCATGTTGATCTTTTAAATATTTTTAATAATATTATCATTAATATTATTCCTGTGTGTGTGTGTGTGTGTGTGTGTGTGTGTGTGTGTGTGTGCATGCCACAGCATGCGTGTGGAGGTCAGAAGATAACTTTGTGACGTTGTTTCTTTATGTGGGTTTCTAGGATCCAACCCAGGTCACCAGGCCACACACCAAATGCCTTTACCTGCTGGGAAAACAGCAGCAACCATGTAAGGGAGGAAAAGACTTTTGTCCCATGACTCGGGGATGGAGTCCATCATGGTAGAGAAGCTATGATAGCAAGTGCATGGCTCCCTAATTAGCCCAACCTGACATATGTACATTTCATTCCTTCACATATATGTAATTACATATGCTGATTCTTCAGGCAAAAAATTCTATTCTACAATTTTTCAGCTCAATTTATTTTGTTCTTTTTAAGACAGGGTTTCACAGTGTCGCCCTGGTTTGCCTGGAACTTGCTATGCAGACCAGGCTGGTCTCAAACTCACAGAGATTAAACTGCCTCCTAAATGATGTAATTAAAGGCATGCACCACCATGCCCAGATTAATTTTGTTGTGGTTGTTATTTATTTTATTTTTCATATATATAGTGTTTTACTTTCATTTATATATATTTGCACCACATGCATGCCTGGTGGCCCTGAGGGTCCAAAGAGGCATTGGATTTCCTGGAACTAGAGTTACAGGGAGTTTGTGAGCCACCATGTGGGTGCTGGGAACCGAACCTGGGTCCTCTGCAAGAGCAGCAAGTGCTCCTAACCAATCATGCTATCTCAATTATTGTAAAAGAGTAACTTGCCCCCTGAAGTCCCCCAACAGATTTGAGAAGAGCTGGAGAAGGGGCATAAAGGTCCCAGATGCCAGTGAGAAAGCCATGGCACCACAGAGGAGGGTGCAACATCTTGGAAGGCATAGGGCTGTCTTCTACAGCTCTGCCTCAGTGGGTTCATTTTGGCTGCCAGAGTGACCCCTGAAATGCTCAGACTCCACCTGGTGGCAGTTTGACATCATCTTCCTGCCTCAGCTCCCTGGTGCTAGAACCTTTAAAAATGTTACTTTTATATAAGCAGCAAAACTAAAGAAAATAAAACAAAAAAACCCACCCCAAATAAGCACACAAACAAAAAACCAAAACAAAAAACCCCTAACATTTCAGTCAAAAATAAATGAATGCATGACTTATTTGGCTATGTAAGTGTCTAGTTTTCTTGCTGGGGTCTCCAAGACTCTTAGGAGAAAATAGTTCTTCTCTTGAAATACCTAAAGAACCTGAAAATGCCGGGGGTGGGAGGTGGGGGGGGGGGGGGTGACAGTGGTGGTGGCGCACGCCTTTAATCCCAGCACTTGGGAGGCAGAGGCAGGCGGATCTCTGTGAGTTCGAGGCCAGCCTGGTCTACAGAGTGAGATCCAAGACAGGTACCAAAACTACACAGAGAAACCCCGTCTCAAAAAACAACAACCAAAAAAGAACCTAAAGATAGGCTGGGTGGGTGCTTGGCTCTAGGGTGGGACATAATGGGAAACAACATACGTCATAGACAGGCTGTGAAGAACAGGGATAAGAGAAAGAGTACACTGTGGTCAAGATTCAGTTCATTTGATTTGGATCACCAAATGATAAGCAGCTGCCTGGCACAGTGAGTTATAGTATAGTAGTTATAGCCAAACCTTTGGGAGGCTGGGATAGGAGCATTGCCTGAGCCCAGGAGTTCAGGACCAGACTGGGCAACCTTAGAGAGATCTCAAAAAACAAAACAAGATAAAAAATTAAACTTCTGTTGAGTACCTATTGTGTGCCTGACTCAGCTTCAGTACTTTGGGAATACATTACATTATTAAATAGAATAAATAAAGACCCTGTCTTTGGGGTTACTTTCTAATACAGAGAATTCACTGTAAGCATAACACAGAACGTAAATACAGCATATGGGATGGTACAGGTATGAGCGCCATGGAAGGAGGGAATGCTGGGGCTGAGAGATGATTCAAGGGTGAAGGGCTTGCTGCACAAGTGTGAGGACCTGGGTTTAGTTCAACATGGATGCCAGGTGATCCCAGGGACCTCTCAGGTAAACTGGCTAGCTGGCCTAGTTGAATTGGCAAGCTCTGGGTTTAAGTGAGAGGCCTTGTCTCAATACATGTAAGGTGGAGAGGAATCAAGGAAGACACCCAGGTCAACCCCTGGCTTCTAATCACATGTGCGCCCATGTGCATATGACCCCACGTCAACTCACACATGTGCAAACACACAAAAATATACATGTATACACACATGCAAGGAAGTTTGGGACTATGACATGGTGTAGTGGATTGCAATTTAGTTCTTTTTCTTCCTTTTACATTTTTATTTATTATTGTTGTGTTTATGGAGGGGCATGTCCACAGCATGCATATATCGAGGTCAAAGGACAATTTTTTGTGTGTGTTTTCAGGCGAGAGTCTTATCATGCAGCTTAGGAAGGATGCCCTTGAACTCACAATCCTCCTGCTGCCTACCTGCACTTCTCAAGTGCTGGGACTCTAGGCGTACCTCATCACCCCCAAGTCATCTTCCTTCTTTCTCCTTCAGTTCCTTCTTACTTTCTTTTTTTTAATTTAATTTAATTTTTTTATTTTTTTTTTTAAGACAAAGTCTCTGGCTGTCCTGGAACTCACTTTGTAGACCAGGCTGGCCTCGAACTCACAGAGATCACCTGCCTCTGCCTCTCAAGTGCCAAGATTAAAGGTGTGTGTCACTATGACCGGCTTCTTTTTACTTTCTCTTTGAAAAAATATTTATTTTATTTTTAATTGTGTGTAGGAGCATGTGTGTGGGTACTTTTATATGGATATGTGCATATGAGTACAGGTGCCCATGGAGGCCAGAGGGGTTAGATCCCCCAGAAACTGGAGTTACAGGTAGTTGTAAGCTGCTCAGTGTGGATGCTGAGAACTGAACCCACATCCTCTGGAACAGCAGTATGGGTTTTAGCGGAACAGCAGTATGGGTTTTAGCGGAACAGCAGTATGGGTTTTAGCGGAACAGCAGTATGGGTTTTAGCGGAACAGCAGTATGGGTTTTAGCTGCTGAGCCGTCTCAGCTCTTACTTTCATCCTCTCTTTTTAATGATTATTTTTATTTATTTGTGTGTGTGTGTGTGTATGTGTGTGTGTGTGTCTGTGTCTGTGTCTGTGTGTATATATGCTGTGTGTGGGTGCCCATAGAGGCTGGACAAGGGTGTCTGTGGGATCCTTTGTGATTGGAGTTATAGGAGAGCCATGAATTGTTGGGAACCGGACTCAGGTCCTCAGGAAGGGCTCTTCACCACTGAGCAGTCTCTCCAGCCCCTCAGTCAGTGTCCTTTCTTTTCCTCTGTAGCCCTCACTTGGAACTCAGAGCCTCACAAAATGCTTGACAGGAGCTTTACTGCTAATCCACACCTTCAACCTGGATTCTCTTTTCTTTTTTCTCTTCTCTCTCTCTCTCTCTCTCTCTCTCTCTCTCTCTCTCTCTCTCTCTCTCTCTCTCTCTTTTTTGTGAGACAAAGCCTCACCAGGTAGCCCAGGGGATTGAAATTTTAAAGTGGCCAGGACAGACCTCTTTGAGAGGGTTTCTTCCAACTGCCAGAAGGAAGTGAAGGAATGTTTCACAGAGATTTCTCGGGAAGATTTTCAGGCATCAGGCACAACTAAGATCCTTGGGAGCAGGTCTGACGGGAGAAGCTGGGCAACAGGGTAGATTGTCATCCCTTAGAAAGACTTTAGGCTTTAGACATGGAACCAAAAGGGATTTAAAACATCTTTCAGGACTAGCTTACCGCATCTTCTTCCCAGTGTCTGGCTTGGTATGTGTGGATGGATGTGTGCCCATGCCAATGACATCTGACCGGGTCCTCCTTGACCAGCCAGAGCCAACTTCCACCAGTCTCCTTCCCAGGCTGGGGTGTGGTTCACTCCACCCCTCTCGGTTGTTTTTATCACACACTCCCAGCCCTGGGAACTCAGTTTCCCAATCAGAGAGCCAATTAAAGGTGTGCGGTGGGGGGCACTCCACCACCGTCTCTACTTCTCCCTAGACGTTGACTTCTGGGCCAGTCAGTGTAGGAACCTCCCAGTGGGACAGGGAGTGATCCCGGGGACTCGGCAGAGAAACTGGGAATGCAGAAGAGTGAGCAACAGGTCACCCTGCAAATCTGGAAGATCCCCTTCCCCACCGCCCTCCACACCCCCACCCCTGGCCTGACACAATGGCTGGGTGGGGCTGAGGAACTGGCTTCCTCTGTGGAGATGGAAATCTGGGCCTTCAGTTCCCGCCCCAGAGACGCGGGGACATTTATTTGGAGACGTTGGGCAGCATTTGGTGCTCCAAGGGGGCAGGAAGATAGACTGAAAACAGAAACTACCCCAAACCATAAAGGTAAGTTGGGGTGGGGGTGGGGGGCTCTGCAGATGAGAGGGGGGAGAAGAGAGGTTCCCTCTGTGCCAAGGGTGGTTGGCTCACATCGAGGCAATAGGTTGGAAGTTGGGGAGAAGAGACAGTAGTTGTACAAGTGGTAGGAACCGATGACTAGACATCCTCTCGCTGAGAGGGAGGTATGAGGATGAGCATGCGGTACTGCCAGCCCAGCTTGCCGGGGGCCATGCCATTCTCACCGGCACCCCAGTCGGTCGGTCACACAGCAGTACAGGTGAGGGTGCACGCATAAAGCAGCTCAGCAGCTCTACACACACACACACACACACACACACACAGCCTTTTCTAACCTCCAACACCTTGGATGCCGGATTCCTCACATCCTCTAGGCCCAGTGTGCGCATGTGGAGCGTGGTGTGGTTGGGGGTGGTGGTGTCCGGTTGGGAGGAGGATCGGATTCCTGTTTCCTGCCCCTACTCACTCAGCCCTAGGAGGTGCCTGAGAGTGGAGGGAACTGGAGGGTAAGTGCTTGGGGCCCCGACTCTCTGGGCCCTGTAAAAGGCCCGAGTTGGGAGTGGGAAGGAAGTCAACGCAGGCACCTGGGATGGGGTACAGTGAATTCCCTGAAGGGTCAGAGGCTGGGGAGCAGGAGACCACTGCTTGGGTAACCTCAACGAGGGGCTTCGTGGCAGCACGTAGGGGCCAATGAGTGAACTGCAATCTAAGGAGACCCTGGTGCCCATCTTTTCTCAAGAACCTAACTCGGGACCTGGAAGGCTATGACTTCTGATGGGATAGGGAATTTAGGGGCTCTCTTGTGTCCCAGCTCTGGTCCCCATCCTCCTTGTCAAGAGGAAGAGAAGCCCAGGTTCCAGTGTCCCAGGTCCCGACCGCCCAGTGCTGTTGGTTCTATGCTTTGGCCTGGGTTTGTGGCCGCCCCGAAGGCATCCGGGAAGGACCCAGCCTTCCACAGGAGCTTCTCCCTGTGACCAAACCCAGGTGTGTCAGGGATAAGAGGATGATGGGGAGCAGAAGAGATCAGGCTGGGGCCTCCCGGTCTCCTGGGGTCAGAGGCTCCAGGAATCTTCATGGCAGGAAAAGGAGACTAAAAATAATCCGGAAAGGGAGAGTCCGGAGAGAGGAACTGGGAAATGGGAGGGGGGAGGGGCAGTCAGAGCAGGGAAACAGTGATACATCCATCAGCTCAGGCACTGGCTTGCACGTGTGCTTGCGTGTGTGCGTGCGTGTGTGTGTGTGTGTGTGTGTGTGTGTGCGCGCGCGCGCGCGCGCGTGCGCGCGCATGCGTGTGTGCCTGTGCACACACTCATACACACATGCTTTACCCAGATATTACAGAACATGCACACTATCCTCACATCGCACACTTGATGTGTCTGTGACAAACCACGGTTGACCCCACTCTTCCCCAGCATACCTCCCCGGGCACACCCAACTCTCACTCACCCAGCACTAGATCACAGTGCACACTAACTCACATAAACTCCCCCACACAGTGACTGTACCCGCAAGCTGAGCTCCCTTCGCGGCCTCTTTCTGGTTCTCTGTTACCCTGGCCTTCCCATCCTTTCCAACAACAGCTTGTTCTTAGCCCCACTGTGTCCTCTGGCCCGACTGCGGCAGCAAAAGTCAAAGGATAGAGAAGCTGGCCACTGGCAGCACAGGCCACTGGCAGCACAGCTCTCCAGACGCTGAGGCAGGAGGATCGGAAGTTTGAGGCCCGTCTGGGACGCATAATGAGAGACCCTGTCTCAAAGAAAGAAAAGCTGCCCAGGAGGGTCCAGGGGCAGAATGAGGAAGGGTGAGCGGTGAAAAAAGACAGTGTGACAGGAGGAAGGGAGGGAAATGCACCGGTCTTCTCTCCTGACTCAAAAATACAGTTTCAGACAGCCTCAGTCTACCCACCAGCCGGGGTACTGAGGGGCCCTTTATCCCTCCACCCTCCTCAGGGGATGACTTCCGCAGAACACCTCCCTCCTTGGAAACACTCAGAAGACGATGTCAGCCCAGTCCCTTCCTGCAGCGACGCCCCCCACCCTGAAGCCCCCTCGGATCATCCGCCCCCGCCCTCCTTCTCGCCACCGGGCTCCCCACTCCCCGGGGCCTCCCCACAATGGCTCCTCCTCGAAAGCGCTTCCCCAGATTCCCAATGACGCGTCGGCCTCAATGTGCACCTCCATCTTCTGGGAGCCCCCCGCGTCTTCCCTGAAGCCCCCCGCCCTTCTGCCCCCCTCAGTCTCCAGAGCCAGCCTGGACTCTCAGACGTCCCCCGACTCGCCTTCCAGCACACCCAGTCCCAGCCCGGTGTCCCGGCGATCCGTCTCCCCGGAACCAGCTCCCTGCTCTCCAGTGCCCCCACCCAAGCCCTCTGGGTCGCCCCGAACACCCCTGCCCTCGCTCCCGATGCCTCTCCAGGATGGCTCTGCCTCGGCCCCTGGCACGGTTCGCAGACTGGCCGGCAAGTTTGAATGGGGGGCCGAAGGCAAGGCCCAGTCCTCAGACTCCCTGGAGCGGTGCTCCCAAGGGAGCTCGGATGTGAATGGGGAGAGAGAGACTCCCCAAGTCGTCCTTTCCGGGAATGGGTCCCAGGAGAATGGCACTCCGGGTGAGCATATGGTGCAGTTGAGTTAGCCTCAACACAGCTAGCTTATCTTCGTCTTCAGTTCTCGAAATCCGGGGGATTTAAAGGACTAGCATTTCTAGTAGACTTTATGTTTGAGAAGTCTATTTTCTATGTTTCTCTGCCTTGCAGACGGGGTGGGTGAGATCTACAGATACCTGGGGTTGGTCCTTTATGTTGGGGGGAACAGTCTGAGATGGGATGGGCCAGGCCCCAAGGACTTCCTCCTTAGACAACCCCTTCAGTTACAGATGCTGCCCTGGCCTGCCCTCCATGCTGCCCCTGTGTCTGCCACGTAGCAAAGCCTGGCCTGGAGCTCCGATGGGTGCCTGTGGGGAGTTCGGGAGACATCCTCAGGGCCCCCTGCCGAGCATCCCCACGGCGAGCCTCCCGCTCCCGCATCAACCCACCAGTCATCAGCCACCCTCCAGTTATCCTCACATCTTACCGCTCCACTGCCGAGCGCAAACTCCTACCTCCCCTCAAGCCCCCCAAGCCCACTCGCGTCAGACAGGATACCAGTACCTCTGGGGAGCTTCCGCAGCCCGACCTGGACCTGCCTTCGGAAGACGGGATCCAAACAGGTGCAAGGCCTGGGAGTTAAGGACATGGAAGGCAGGGAGAGAGGACAGGGAGAGGAGTTCCGGGCTTTGAGGGCACAGGGTCGGGGTGAGTGGCCAGCTACAGACCTACCAAGCCCTAGACTTTCCCTTTTTCTCCCAGCTGCTGCTCGGAAGTTGAGGGGAGTGGTAGCCTTGGTGTCTTCACTGGGGCTGGGGTTCAGGGTCTTGGGCTGGGGGTCTTGGAGGTTTGGGAGGTTAGCTCTGGTCACTCTGGGTTTCTCTCTCCAGGGGACAGGCCTGAAGAAGCACCTCAGAATGTTCCCCCTGCAGCCTTGGAGGGAAGGTACCGAACTCCCCTCCTGTGTCCTCTCCTGACCTCACCGTGCCTCTCCTGCAAGGGCAGACTAACTTTCAAGTCCAGATGAATCCTACCTTATATTTACAACAAATATAGTCGTAAAGCTATATTTTAGTCATCCAACTTTAAATAAATTCTCTTTTCTGGGTTTCAGAGTCTTTCTCTAAGAAATAGGAATACGCTTGACTCCGTTCCATGGGATTATTGAGGAATAATATTGCAAAAAATTTGGGCTCAAGCTAGGCTTAGTGGCACAGGCTATAATCCCAGCACAGAGCAGACTGAGGCAGGGAAATCAGGAGTTGAGGTTAGCCTGGGATACATCTCACAGTTCATTTTCTAAACAATAGGCGGGGCGGTGGTGGCGCACGCCTTTAATCCCAGCACTCGGGAGGCAGAGCCAGGCGGATCTCTGTGAGTTCGAGGCCAGCCTGGTCTCCAAAGTGAGTTCCAGGAAAGGCGCAAAGCTACACAGAGAAACCCTGTCTCGAAAAACCAAAAAAAAAAAAAAAAAAAAAACAATAACAACAAACCAAAACCAAAACAAAGCGACAAACCAACAAACCAAAGTCAGGGCCAAGTTCTGCTTTAATATTCTTATCTTACTGTGAGTCTGTATTAAAGTTACTTTTAAGATTTATTTTTAATTGTGTGTGTGTGTGTGTCTGTCTGTCTGTCAGACAGGTACTTATGGAGGCCAAAACAGTGGGCTCTCCCCCTGTAGGTTGAGTTACAGGTAGTTGTGAGCCATCTGATGTAGGTGCTGGGAATCAAACCCGGATCCTCTGTAAGAATAGTACATGCTCTTAACTACTGAGCCATTCCTCAAGCCCTCCATTAGAATGATTGTTGGTAAAACCATTTGGCAACCATGGCCATCTCGTATGTTTTCCAGGTTTGCTAACCATTTTAGATTAATTGCTTTCTTATTAGAAGTAATAATCCAGGTATGTTCATTTGTTTAGAAAATGTTTATGGTAGTAGCTTTTAGCTTGAGAATAACTAGGAGAGGGGAGACGGGGAGCCACAGGTGTGAGAGTTTGGCCACGTGGAGTTTCACCAAACCACAAAGAAGGCCTTCTAGACACTGCTCCTGGGTGAGAGGGCTGGAGGGAGGGACTTGGAAGTATCTATTGCGCAGTAGCTGAGAAAGCAGAAATGTTTGGGGCCTGACATCTGGGCCAAGGACTTCCCGTCCAACAGGCACACAGGAACATCTGGAGTTTGATCTGGAGCTGTCAGGATCCCTCCACACAATGTGCATATGAGTTCTGCAGCTCTCTCTTCTGGTGTCACGTGAATGACGCCCATCGACTGGACCTCACATGCCTTCTTCTCTTTCTCCACAGGGATGAGGAGGGGCTGGAGGGATTGAAGGAACAGCAGTGGGAGCTGCCCCTGCAGGACGGTAGGTCTCTCCTGTGACAGGCAGGAGGGAAGGGTTCTGGGGCTTGGACCTCTCTGATGTTCTCCATCTACCTTCCAGAACCTTTATACCAGACTTACAGAGCAGCTGTACTGTCAGAGGAGCTGTGGGGTGTGGGTGAGGATGGGGGCCCCTCTCCGGCTAATCCCGGAGAAGCTCCCACCTTCTCCAGGCTCCCTGGACCTCGGAACACTCTGTGGCAGGAGCTCCCGGCTGTGCGAGCCAGTGGTCTCTTAGAGAGCCTAAGCCCCCAGGAAAGGCGTATGCAGGAGGTGAGTACCCCAGGGTGGGATGGGGATGGGGAGGTATGTGACCCGGGTCTGGGCTGGTTGTGAGGTGACTGGCCTTTTCACTGTGGCCCTGCTCTCCTGTCTAGAGCCTGTTTGAGGTGGTGACCTCAGAGGCCTCCTACCTACGCTCTCTGAGGCTACTGACCGACACCTTCGTCCTGAGCCGGGCTCTCCGGGACACACTCACTCCTCGGGATCACCACACACTTTTCTCCAACGTGCAGCGAGTCCAGGGTGTCAGTGAGCGGTCAGTGGGGTCCTAGGGATGTGGGCCTCGGGTTGCTGAGTATCCTTAGCTTTCTTCCTCTTCTAGATCTTTCCTTCCGCGGGCTTGGTTTTCAGCACTCTCCTGAAAAGCCTGGAGAACCAGACTTCCTGTCCCTCCATTAATGGCTTCCTCCATGCTTTCAGGTTTCTGGGAACATTACTATCCCGGGTCCGTTCTTCCCCACACATCAGTGACCTGTGCGACGTGGTGCACGCCCACGCGGTCGGCCCCTTCTCAGTGTATGTGGATTACGTCCGGAACCAGCAGTATCAGGAGGAGACCTATAGCCGCCTTATGTGAGTACAGTGCTTTTCTGCTTTCTCCCTGGGAATGTGTTCCGAGACCACCAGTGGATAGTGATAGACCTTACACGTCCGTATCTAAGAAAAACGATTTATAAATTAGGCCTGGTAAGAGTTGAACAACAGCTAATAATAAACTAGAAAAATTAGAGCAATGTGATGTAATAAAATTGTCAGCATCAATACTCTCGCACTTTGTGGACTTTAGTAAGTCAGTTAAGGATTACGTGGACACAGCTCCACGATATCACCACAGTCAATTTGACAGATAGGACAGCTACTAAGTGATGGATGGCTGGGTAGTGTATATACACGAATACGCTGGACAAAGGGATTAATGGTGTTCCAGATGAGATAGGGTGGGGCATCTTGAGATTTTTTTTTATCATTGCTAGTCAGAAAGGCACTGACTTCAAAATATACATATTATTTAATTGAAATTATGAAAGCAAAACTGCAGAGAACGTTCTGTATCCCAGAGTTGGAGGAACCTGTGAAGTCAGGTTAAGGCGGAGCCCGGAGCTGGCTGGAGGGCTCAGGACCCTACTTCAGGGAACCCCTGGGCATCTGGGCTTTCTTGCAGGGACACTAACGTGCGCTTCTCTGCGGAGCTACGACGGCTGCAGAGCCTCCCCAAATGTGAGCGGCTTCCACTGCCATCTTTTCTGCTATTGCCCTTCCAGCGCATTACCCGGCTCCGGATGCTGCTGCAGGTACCGTCCTGGCTTGGAGTCTGTCCCTTCCCACCAACCCTGCCGGCCGCGGGTCTAGTTATCACCGTTTCCTATCCCACCACGACCACAGACATCCTCTCAGGGCAACATCTCCCAACCTCAGCTCCCTAAATGCCTCAGAGGGCAGAAAGAGCCGTCTAGACTTTCTTTGGCTCAGCCTCTAACTAGCTGAGATCTCCAAAGGGACAAACAATGGCTTTTGGGAGGAATGAAAAAAAATAAACCTTAGCTATTCCAGTGATTGTGGACTTCAGAGCCATGGCAAATACATAGATTTATAGTGTATCTATAAAATTCGATTTTTATGGAGGCTGTAGTGTAGCTTAATTGTAGACAGCTTGCCTAGAGTGTACTAGACTAGGCCTTGGATTCAATCTCCAGGGCAACTAAATAAATAAAATTTAAATAAATGAAAAAGATGAAAAAGTTCCTTAGTGGGATAATACTGAGGAAAAAATGAGTGTTTTATGAAACACTTCTCTTGCATCTATTTGTGTGTGTGTGTGTATGTGTTGGCGTGTACATGGAAGTTAGAGGACAACATGCAGATGTCACAGGAAAACTTGCGGAAGCCAATTTGCTTTTTTCATCACCTGGGTCCTGGGGATCAAATTCACGTCTTTAGGCTGCAAAATGCCTTTCCCTGCTGAGCCATCCCAGGGTACATTGCAGGAGTCAGTTCTCGATTTCTCCGTGTAGGACTCACAAAAGTTGTTACCCTCTGAGCCAGAGAAACACTTTTTGACCCAAAACCTTCGACTGATTCCCCTGGTATTGGAATTTTTAAAAAGATTCATATGTTTTGATTTTATGTGCATGTTTTACCTGCATGCATCACATGAGTGCCTAGTGCTTGTGGAGGCCAGAAAAGTGAATTGGCTCCTCTGGAACTGGAGTTACAGACACTTGTGAGCTACCATGTAGATGCTGGGAGTTGAACCTGGGTCCTCTGAAAGGGCACTTGAGTGCTCTTAACTGATGAACCATCTCTCTAGCCCCCAGTATTGGGATTTTCTCTTTCTTTTTTTTTTCTTTTTTAGACAAAATCTCACTATGTAGTTATGACTGGCTTGCTATGTATTCCAGGCTGGCCTGACTCCATGAGACCTACTTGCCTGCACCTCCAGAGTACTGGCATTAAAGGTGTACATCCCTATACCTGGCAGTATTGGAATCCTTTTTTTTTATATTTATTTATTTTATGTATATGAGTGCTTTATCTTCAAACAGAGACTGCACACCAGAAGAGGGCATCAGATCCCATTATAGATGGTTGTGAGCCACAATGTGGATGCTGGGAATTGAACCCTGGTCCTCTGGAAGAGCAGCCAATGCTCTTAACTGCTGAGCCATCTCTCCAGCTCCGGTATTGGAATCTTTTTTTTTTTTTTTTTTTTTTTTGAGACAGGGTTTCTCTGTGTAGCCTTGGCTGTCCTGGAACTCACTCTGTAGACCAGGCCGGCCTCGAACTCACAGAGATCCACCTGGGTCTGCCTCTCAAGTGCTGGAATTAAAGGCATGTGCCCCCACTGCCGGCCAGTATTGGAATCTTAGAGGGCCCAACTTCTTTTCTCTTTCTTTGTCTTGAGACAGTTGGCTTTGCTTTTTTGTTGCTGGGGTTTTTTGTTTGTTGTTTGTTTTGTTTGTTTGTTGTTGTTGTTTAGAACTCACTACGAAGCTCAGGCCAGCCTCAAACTTGCGGTCTTCTGCCTCAGCTTCTTGAGTACTGGGATAACAGGTGTGCACAGACTTTTTCTTTTAATTTAATTGTGTGTGTGTGTGTGTGTGTGTGTGTGTGTGTGTGTGTGTGTGTGTGTGTCAGAGGATCAAACTGATGCCTCACTCATGTGTAGCTAGAGTTTTCCTGCCTGGCCCACAGTCAGGACAAATCTCTCTCACCTGCCAGTTCCAAGCCGCTCAAACCCGATCAAGTAAACACAGACACTTATATTGGTTACAAACTGTATGGCTGTGGCAGGCTTCTTGCTAACTGTTCTTACAGCTTAAATTAATCCATTTCTATTAATCTATACCTTGCCACGTGGCTTGTGGATTACCGGTACTTTACATCTTCCTTGTCCTGATGGCGGCTGGCAGCTTCTCCCTCACCCAGCTTCCTGTTCTCTCAGTTTTCCTCTCTGTTAGTCCCGCCTATACTTCCTGCCTGGCCACTGACCCATCAGTGATTTATTCATTGACCAATCAGCAACACATTTGACATACAGACCATCCCACAGCACTCATGCTAAACAAACACTCTACCATTGATTTCTAACCCAACTCCCTCAAGCTTTTTTTAGCTTTGTCTGGCCTCTATGTAGACGGCATGATAACAGTGATATCATACTAACTCAGTGATTGCTGAGTGTGCTGTCCAAGGCCCGGTTCTAAGTGTTCTACACCTGTGTAACCCCAGTGACAAGTGTGTGAGAGCAGGAACCATTATTTGCACGACTTTATAAAGGTGGAAACTGGGTGCAGTTTGAATAACTTGGCCTAGGCCATGCAAAAATAATGGATGGAGCCAGATGTGGGGGTCCACGCCTGTGACCCCAGCGTTCCAGAGGGTGGACAGAAGGATTCATCGTTCAAAGCCAGCCAGGGCTGCTTAGCAGAAATGCTGTCTCAGAAAAACATACAGGCTAAAAAGAAAACAAAATAAATAGAAATCCAGGCATTTCTAACTGCCCTGATATATTGTTAGACCAGTAAGTATTATATATATATATATATATATATATATATATATATATATATATATATATATATATCTCCCCAGCATTTATGGTGTGCTAAGTGCCAAGGATTATGCTAAGTCCTCTTTATATATCACCACGAATCCTCTCACAATATTAACATGCTAAATAGATATCAGCTCCATCTTATAAATGGGGAAACTGAGGCACTGAGCAGTTATATGGCTTGCTCGGGCTCTGGCAGCTGGTAAGTGGTGGTCTCATGGACTTGCTGAGGGTTGTCTTAGGGACCCTGTGAATCCTAAACGGAACATTGGGCAAAGCTGGGCCGGGTCCACAGCACCTCAGAATCTCAGGGGAACGGAGGATCTCAGTCACCCTTCCTCTTTGTTTCCAGAATATCCTAGGCCAGACAGAGGAGGGGTCCAGTCGCCAGGAGAATGCCCAGAAGGCCCTGAGTGCTGTGAGCAAGGTGCGCAGGATGGACACTGGGGAGGGAAGAGGTGCCAGGGGTAGAGGGAAGTGGAGGGGACAGGTGGCCGCGGGGATGGATGACTCGCTTCCCCTCGCCAGATCATTGAGCGCTGCAGCGCTGAAGTGGGGCGCATGAAGCAGACGGAAGAGCTGATCCGACTCACCCAAAGGTTGCGCTTCCACAAGGTCAAGGTTAGTGGTGCCCAGACTCTCCATCTCGCCTTTCCTTGCCATGCTGCGAGGCTAAACCCTTCTCTTTTTTCTTCCCAGGCTCTACCCCTGGTCTCCTGGTCACGGCGCCTGGAATTGCAGGGGGAGCTGACAGAGTTGGGATTTCGGAGGGGGGGTGTGCTCTTCACCTCCCGCCCCCGCTTCACTCCCCTCTGCCTGCTGCTCTTCAGTGACCTGCTGCTTATCACTCAGCCCAAGAGGTGGGTCCGTGGGAGGGGAGGAAGTCCAAGCCAGGATGGAGGAGAGGCCTCTGGCAGGACGCGCCTGCTCTCCTCTGAACGCCCTCTTCCCTGGGTAGTGGGCAGCGGCTGCAGGTTCTGGACTATGCCCATCGCTCCCTGGTGCAGGCCCAGCAGGTTCCTGACCCATCTGGACCCCCTACATTCCGCCTCTCCCTTCTAAGCAACCACCAGGGTCGCCCCACCCACAGGCTACTCCAAGCAGCCTCACTGTGAGTCATGTCTCTAGAGAACACTCTTGGGGGTTGGGGGTGTGGCTCAGTGGTAGAGAATTCTGTTGCTCCTCTCTCTCCTCTATGGCCCCTATTATTTCATCCCCCAGGAGTCTGTCGGGCCAACTGTGAACCCCCTCCTTTGTTCACCACTAGGTCGGACATGCAGCGCTGGCTGGGAGCTTTTCCCACCCCGGGTCCCCTTCCCTGTTCCCCAGACACCATCTATGAGGACTGTGGTAAGTATCTCCCAAAGGGAGGAGGGAAAATGTGAGTCTTAAGGGGGATCTGGGACGGCAACTAAACAGAATGGGGGTCCCACTGTAATGTGACCCATACTCCACCAGAGTGTTCCCAGGAGCTGTGTTCATCAGAGCCATCGACACCTTCCAAGACAGAGGGCCAAAGTCTGGATTCCAAGGCCCCCCGCAAGCATCCACACAAGAATCCTGAAGGTGAGAGAGCCTTTCACGGACTCATTCAGCAAATATTCATTGAGCACCATGAGCCAAACACATAACGTTTCATGCTCTGCTGGGGAACAGTTTTTCCCCCTGGCGGTGCTGGGACGGAGTCCAGGGACTTACATGTGATAGGCGAGTGCCGCACTAATGAACTACCCCCCAGCCCTGGAGGATACTTTAACAGAGGAAGCAGACTATAAAGGCTAAAGGAGCCAGACATGGTGGTGCTGGTGTTGGTCTCGGATTCTGTCGCTTGAGAGGCTCACCGGCAGGCAGATCTCCGTGAGTTCAAGGTCAGTCTGGTCTACACGGCGAGTTTTAGACCAGCAAGGTTACATAATGAGACCCTTTTCTCTCTCTCTCTCCCAAGGTAGGGTTTCTCTGTGTACCTCTGGCTGTCCTGGAACTCTCTGTGTAGACCAGGCTGGCCTTGAACTCACAGAGATCTGCCTGCCTCTGCCTCCCAAGTGCTAGGATTAAAGGTGTGCACCACCACTGCCTGACTGAGACCCTTTTAAGTATAGATTATGTGTAGTGTGTTAGAAGGAGATGCGTGCCATGGGAAAACGCAGTAAGGAAGGAGGAGTGCTGGGGTTTGGTAGGGTCTCAAGTAGTCAGGTGAGGTAGACCTCACTAGGAGGCGATGTGTGAGGTGACAGAGGGGATCAGTCTAGGCGTTCGGGGTCTGAGGAAGGGTGGACCAGCGGCAGGGCACAGGCAGGGCGAAGGCCTAGGGCCTGTTGTGTGACAAAGGAAGGAGGCCAGTGTGCCTAGACCGATCCAGAAAAGGGGCTGGGAGCAGATGAGGTCGCAGTGATAACAGATAAGATCTCGCAGCCCCTTGCAAGGGTTCTTTTTTTTTAGATTTATTTTTCTTTATTATTTGTGTATTTATTAGATTTGTCTATTTTATTATTTTGTGTGTATGAGTGTTTTGCATGCATTTATGTCTGGTGCCTGCCGAGGTCAGAAGAGGGCACTGGATCCCTTGAGACTGGAGTTACAGATGGTTGTGGGTTACCATGTGGGTGCTGGGAATCGAACCTGGATCCTCTGGGAGAGCACCAATTTCTCTTAACCACTGAGCCAGCTCTCAAGCCCAGAAGTTCTTCTGATTGACTGACAGGAGCAGTCATTGTAGGACCCAACATAGAAGTGCCACAGACCCTCTCAGATGCTGATGTCACTTCCTAGAGTGGGTAGTAACTGAAGTTGAATTCTTGGCTCCATGCTTCTCCACTAACCCCCAATCCACCATGACCTGAGACCCCAGAGGGCCTCCTTTCCCCAGTCACCTGACCTCTGTCCCTGGTCCCCAGAAGCCTGATTTTCTTTCCCCAGGTTGGCTGAAGGGACTTCCTGGAGCCTTCCCTGCCCAATTGGTGTGTGAAGTCACGGGAGAACATGAAAGGAGAAAGCATCTCCGCCAGCACCAGAAGCTGCTTGAGGCTGGGGGACCCTCTTCAGGCACTTCTGACACCCCTCAACCTTGATGCAGGCTGGGGAGGGGGCACAGACTGGGACTCTGGCAGCAGCAAGGAGATGACAAAGTCTGCCCATCTGTCCATATCTGTCCATCATCTATTTGCTGTCGGTGGGAACACTACCTCTAGTGGTACCCAGTACAGATAGAGCTTCAGGACAGCAGTAATGAAAGAGGCCATCTGAGCCCACAACAAGAAAGAAGGAGTGGCTTGAATGTGTTGCCAATGGAGACAGAGTGGCCAAGGCCAAGACCCTGGCTATCAAGTATCACCATGGAAGAGGAAGCCGGGGCAATGCGTTGAAATGGCATTGTTGGAGTATCTCTGTAGACAACAGGGATGGGCAGGAACCCATTCAGCCAAAGAAGATGGTGACTTGGGCCCAAGAGACCAGTAATCACCCTACTTGGTTCTACAGAAGCCACTGGTCCTGTCCTTTGAATATAGGAAGTATTAAATTAATCTAATACTTCTATTTCTGGACTACTTCTTATGCCCTTTCAAATCACTTCCTTTCTTCTAGAAGAATCCAGGGTATGTCTCGGAGAACATGTGTCCATGTGTGTCCATGTGTATATGTATCTAGGAAGGCAATTCTGCTGAACATGGTGTGTGTGTGGGTGAGAGAGAGAGAGAGAGAGAGAGAGAGAGAGAGAGAGAGAGAGAGAGAGAGCGCCAGTCCTGTTAGTGACCGAAAATGTCATTTTTTTTCCTGTTATTTTCTCCAAAGAAGACGTTTGGCCTGAGTTCTAAAGAAAGTACAGGGTACAGCTTGGCCAGAGGCTAGGACTGTGGATGACAGCCATGGAACCTGGGTCTCTTGGGTATCTCCAGGTTTCAAGACAGCTGAAGGGTGATGTTATGAAGCAGTCCAGTGGCCTGGCAGGGCACCGAGGAACTAAGTAGCTGGGATGAAAGATCCTCTGCAGTCTGTGAATATTTTCCTGTCCCAAACATTGACCTCCACAACCCATGTCTGCTCTGCATATCTCCCAAGCTGAACTGTCATCGTGTCAGCCAGCCTCGGGCTGCAGAATGAGTCCCAGGCCAGCCGCTGACCGTCCTGGGATTCACTTCATCTATCTCGATCCTTTCAGAAACAGAGGGCCGAGCTCAGTGGAGGGAGTAGAGAGCTGGGGGCGTTGCCCAGCCTCAACCACAGTTTCTGCTGATGAGAACTTGTCCTGCCTGATGCTGGAGAGGTGAGGGCAAGGACAGTAGAGCGGACGATGGCTGGGGTTGGATTTCAAGCCTGGGCAAAGGCTCTCTGCACAACTGTGCAATGCCCTTCCTTCATGTCCTTCAACGTTCTTCTTACAACCTGCCCAGATAGAAACTGCCGTGATGACTAGGGAGGTGGGATGACTCTGGGGACTCGAAGGCAGAAGGGCACTTGGCTTGTCCACAACTTTCACCCCGCAAAGTGCCAGCCACATGGGAAACCCTCAATAAATGTTGCTGGCTTTATACTGAAGTTCTTCGGGGCTTGAAGGAGCAAATGGTCTACAAATGCAGTTTTTTGTGGGGATAATGCTGGATACCACGGTGCCGAGAACAGGTGTCAGTTCCGCTGGAATTAGGGCTCAGAGACGAGGTGCAAGGCCTGCCTGGAGCGTGTTGGCCCCTGCACAGCTTCTTAGAGATCTGTGCTTGCAGTGGACTAGAGCAGCTGCAGCTGGGGCTGTGGCAGGCTGGGGAAGATGGCAGGTCAGGGTCAGCATGGCTGCAGCTGTGTAGAGGGTACAATGAGAGGTCACAGGAGCAGAGAATGGACAACGGCCTTTCACTGACCGGCCAAGTTTGATCCTGTTCTATGCCTGCTTCTTGACCACCTCCTGTGTGCCATGCACAGTTCCAGGGGATAAAAAAAAGACAGTGTGAAAAGCATTCTTCACCTTAGGAGGCCTGTATTGGTTTGAGTGGACTCCAAAATCAGCAAATGAATAGGTAAGATCTAGTGAGGCCACACTGTTATGAAGAAAATACACCCAGCAAAGGCTGTGACACAGAATGGTGTTGGGGTGAGGGAGAGTAGCTTCAGGGAAGATTCTGGAGGAGATGACATCTGAGCTGAGACCCAGATGACAAGAGAGAAGCTGTGGAATGATCCAGGGTGTGTGACAAAGGGACTCTAGGCCAGGAGTTGTAGGTAGAAGTGATGGAGATGGACCTGGTATATCTACACCCATTTCTTTTCTTTCTTTCTTTTTTTTTTCTTTTCTTTTTTTTTTTTTTTTTTTTTGGCAGGGCCGGGGGTTGAATCTGTGTAGCTCTGGCTGTCCTGGAACTCTCTTTGTAGACCAGGCTGGCCTTGAATTCAGAGATCCACCTGCCTCTGGGATTTAAGGCATATGCCACCACTGCCTGGCACATATTAATTATTTTAACCCTCTCAATAATCCCGTAAGTCAGATATAAATATTGCCATCATTATTGTTATGTGGATGAAGAAACTGAGGCACTGAGTTGAGAGGTCAAGTCACACAGCTAACAAACTGTAGAGTGGGCACTGGAACACAAGCCAGCCAGCTCCAGGATGCAAGTGGGCTAATCACTGCCTTAGAGGTCAGGTCTGCCAAGGCCCGTAACCACTCTTCTTAATTTCTGCTACTTGGCATCCATTATATGTATTTTCAGGGTACCCTGATCAGAGATTCATCCCTATAACAAGGGCTTACTAGTCACAAAACTGTTTAGAATACCCCTGAATTCTCAACTTAAGTAGATGATAATTTAATAGAGACATGTGAGTTTGGTTCAGTGAATCATGGGACCAGGTTGAAGAAGGATAGGCAGGATCAATGGATTTCATTTGTTTTGTTTGAGGACACAGTCTTGCAGTAACGAGGCTGTTCACAAAAGAGCCACAAGGAAAAAAGGGGCAGATCTAAGACTGTACAGAGTGAAATTTATTGGGAGGTGTGGAAGATTTACTGACAATTAGATTCTGAGTAGTACCTAGAACAAGCAGATCCCTGTGAGAAGGGTGAGTATTTTGGATAGGACAAAATGACTTCTCCCAGATCAAATGTACTTGGTTTGCCTTAAACCAAAGGGAAGAGTTAAGCTCATTTTTGGTGCCGGAGTCTGCTCATAAACTCCACCTTAGCTGTTCTTAGCTACCTACAATTTACCCGGAAAGCAGAGGGGTTAATCCTGAACAATCCTGTTGTTATGACTTGCCTCGCTTGATTTTGCATGGGATGACCAAAGTACACAGACAAACCCAGCTTGTAAGGAAAGCTTTGTTTTAACTCAGGGTTTCAGAGTTTTTTTGCTATGCTTGCTTGCTCTGGCGCTCCAGGGCTGCAGCAGAGCAGAGGGTGCCTGGCAGTGGGAATCTGCACATCTCATGGTGGATAGGAACCAAAAGAGGAAATGATCGACGTTCCAATGTCCCCTTCAAAGGCATGGTCTCAGGGCCCTAACTTCTATTAGGCCCTGCATTCTAAAGGTTCCTCCCACCAACTAACCTGGACTAAGCCTTCAATATATGCCGTCCAGGGGACATTTAAGATCCAAACCAGCGGGATATGGTGGCACAGGCATGGACTACCTGTATTTAGAAGGCTAAAGCAGAAGAGTCTTTGATTCAATGCCATCCTGAGCTCCTAGCAAGATTCAAATAAACAAAACAAATAAGATATGAACCATAATACAGCTCAAAATCAAGTCAAGCAGAGTCAAGCAAATAGCCTAGGATCTAAGCAAGGGAAGAATCTATTTCCAAATCCACTCACTGGTTGGTGGCATTTAGCTCCCCCACTCACCTAGTAATGGCCACACAGCCCATCACTTTAGCTCTTCATTAGAACCTAATCATTAAGTAAGGTGTGGCGGTGCACATTGTGAGGTAGAGGCAAGAAGATCCAGAGTTCAAGGCCAACTTCACAGAAAGTTTGAGGCCAGCCAGGCTGCTCATAATCTCTATACAGACCAGGGTGACCTCAAATTCACAGAGATCCTCCTGTCTCTGCCTCTTGGGTGCTGGGATTAAAGGCATACACCACCATACCCAGCTTTTGGGTTCGTTGTTGTTGTTGTTAGTTTGGTTGGTTGGGTTTTGTTTTTATTTATTTAGTTTGTTTGTTTGTTTTTGTTTTTTTGAGACAGGGTTTCTCTGTGTAGCTTTGCACCTTTCCTGGAACTCACTCTGTAGCCCAGGCTGGCCTGGAACTCACAGAGATTCACCTGCCTCTGCCTCCCAAGTGCTGGGATTAAAGGTGTGTGCCACCACCACCCGGCTAGTTTGTTTTTGAGACAGAGTCTCCCTCTGTGTCTGACCTCCAACTCACAGCACTCCTCCTGCCTCACACATATGCCCATGTGAATCCACTTTAAGGTCCTGGGGGTGGGGACCTAAAAAAGCCAGTGCAAGTTAGGAGACCTGAAGCTTCAGATATAAGAAACCAATATTTATTTATTTATTTAAAAGATATTTAAAGTTGGGGAAGTCATCTAAGTTTACCTGACACAGAGCGGGAGAGTCTTAACTTTACTCTTGGTTTTAAGTCTGAGTAGAAGCTGCACAAAATCAGTGTGGAAGTTCATCCTGCTCAGTGGTTTTAAAGAAATCTAGTTGTTCCAGTGTGTGTGTGTGTGTGTGTGTGTGTGTGTGTGTGTGTGTGTGTGTGTGTTTTTCTAAATTGCAGATGAAATACAATTTAGACTAAAGCTTTAAAATAAATAAATAAATTGCATTCCTGTGCCCACATAGAGCCATGCCTCTATGTATTAGCTAGTACAGTATTTTAAGAAGTGGCATATCAGCCGGACAGTGGTGGCGCATGCCTTTGATCCCAGCACTTGGGAGGCAGAGGCAGTTGGATCTTTGTGAGTTCCAGGCCAGCCTGGTCTTCAGAATGAGTTCCAGGACAGTCAGGACTGTTACACAGAGAAACCTGTCTTGAAAAAAAAAACCCAAACCAAACAAACAAACAAAAAAGGTGGCCTGTCATTATTTGGGTTTCCTAGGAAGTAGACCACTAGACAAAGATCAGAGTGTAGGAAATTACTGGGGAGGTGAACCCCTGGCACACTTGAGAAAAACAAGGAAGTGAGACAGGGAAGAGCCCAAGATCAGGAAGGGCTATCAAATCTGGAGACAACCGGGACAATCAGAGCCTAATCCCACCGGGAGCTATAGGTGACCCAGAGGATGGGGGGACAAAGTTTAGTCCCAGGCTATAAAACAAAGTGTTATATACTGGAACAGCTGTTTGTGGAGACTTCCAGACTCCACTAGCCAAGCTGGGTAGTTGTAGAGACTTACTCAAAAAACTTAAGAATATTAGTGTGTGTGTGTGTGTGTGTGTGTGTGTGTGTGTGTGTGTGTGTGTGTGTATACCTCATTGTATGTCTGGGCATCATCTGCATATAGTAGCTTGTGGATGTCACGGCAGCACCAGCTTCCCTAGAACTGGAGTGACAGTTGAGAGTTACCTCAAGTGCTGGGAACTGAACCTGGATCCTCTGTAGGAGCAGTAAGGGTTTTTAACTGCTGAGCCATCTCTCAGCCCTATAAAAGCCCTGCGTATTTATTATCTGGACTTTTATAGAAAAAACATTTCTAATTCTTGTCATAGGATGTGCCACTTATTCCAGTCAGGGGTTGGGAAATTTAGGAAATGTATTCACTGAGCCCGAATCTGCCAGCCTTCCCTTTACTAACCCCCTGTTTTACTCTTCCAGACTTTTTACTGGGTAGTGTGGAGGCTGCTGTGTTCACTTGTGTCTGTCTTTATTTTCCCAAGCTGTGTAGCTTTGTCTTGTCTGTTGATGCTAAGAGTGGAAATCCGTCGAACAGGGTTTACCTTATGTATTGTGACTCCCTAAACATTCTGCTGCTAAGCTGGAAGCCACTAAGATAACATTTCCTTTCTTGAACTGTCCTCTTTCTTTACTGTACCCTCCCCTCTTTTTTTAAAATAGGGTCATACCACGTAGCCCTGGCTGGCCTGGAACTTGCTATGCAGACCAGGCTGACCTCCAGTTCCCAGAGATCCACCCACTTCTTCGTCCCGAGTGCTGGGATTAAAGATATGTGGAAACACATCTGGATTTCTCTTGGCTGTTGAGACAGGGTCTCCTGGAGGCTTGGAAACTCATTACATAGTCAGGGGCCATTTCGGGTGCTTGATGCCATGCCTTCGTCTCCCACGTGTTGGGATGAGAGGAGTGCTCTTGGCTTGAGCTGTTTTCAGTTATCTTCTGAAAAGTAATTCTTAAAAATTTAAAATTGGGGTTGGGGATTTAGCTCAGTGGTAGAGTGCTTGCCTAGCAAGCCCAAGGCCCTGGGTTCAATCCTCAGTTCAAGATAAATAAATAAATAAATAAATAAATAAATAAATAAATAAATAAATAAATAAATAAAAACATTTTAAATTGGAGCTGGGCGACAAAGGCGCATGCCTTGAATCCCAGCACTCAGGAGGTAAAGCCAGGTGGATCTCCATGAGTTCAAGGCCAGCCTGGTCTACAGA